TGACATAGAGCTGCCAGTTCTTAATGACTTTAACGGTTAACCTGACCAGCCGGTAACCTTCGAGTTGCGTTGACTTTTAAAACGCGTTATTTCTTCTCAACGGGTCTATCCAACCTAATTCGTACGACAACAATGCCCCTATATTTATTAAACAATCACTTATAGTTCCAATAGTTTTGGTTTCGCGCAATAAAACCCTTAGTTATTCCATTTATCCTGTCGAACATCCAACTGGAGAGTTGATGCTTATTTAGACTACGACACCGAGGAAGATCAACGTAAACAAAACCGAAACCAAGCTCAAACATCCTCAATCTCTCCAAAATAAACAGAGACTATCATTGGCCTCATTGCCTATTGTATGCTAAAGTCTAGAGTTTTGGGGTTCTTGCTGCTACTTCTAATAAGAGAAGAAGAATATGATGAGAAATTAGTAGGCTTCTGTTCATTTCTGACCATCCACTTGAACTGGTTCAACCACTTCAGCTTCTAATGGCTCTGCATTGAAACCATTAGCCATCTTCTGCTGCTGTGACTGGAAGTCAGGGCTGCTTGACCATTTACCAGAAAGAGCCATACCCATCATCTCGTATATCTTCCCACCCAGCTCTGCTGGATTCTCGGGCTATACATATAGAGAAACAACAACCAAGGTTTAACCAATCTTCACCCATTTCAATTTAGTAAAAATACAGAAAGAATGTGGTTATATATGATACAGAAAGCAAGCAGAGGCTTACCGTGAAGCCACTAGAAACTAGTGCGGCGTCGTACATAAGATCTATGGCTCTCAACGCCTCTTCATCATCAGGGTTACTCCTGTAAGCAGCCTGCGGAGTTAAAAGAAAAAAACATGTCAAGACTCAATACACGGGTCTTAGATTTGTTATGATCCCAAGCAATGAAGAATGGTGACATCACATTTATGTTCTTGATAATCGAGTGGTCTGGATTGATCTCAAACACTCTTCTCCCTTTCATGAACTCAAGGCTTGTTGTGTCACCAGATGATTGTGCCTTCATTAGCCTGTTGAGATAAAACATATTCTAATTGTTAGTACACCAGGAAAAAAGAGGAGAAAACTTCGTACTTAGGAAAAAGGTTAGATCTTACCTCTCCATGTTTGCCGACCAACCAAATTTACCAGATACAATAACACAAGGCGATGAACTAAGACGGTTGGAGATCTGAACATTTGCGACCTTATCGCCCAATCGTTTCTTTATCCAATCACAAGTCTGCCCAAACTCCTTTTTCACAGCTGCTTCTTTCTCCTCGTTCTTGTCTCCTGTCAGTTAAAAAAACATACCCAGAAAGTGTTATTGTGCGATTAAGTGAGATTATCTGACATGGCAAATCAAGGGAATGATATCAGATACTTGCCTAGATCTAAATCTTCCTTGCTGATGTCGATAAAATCCTTCTCCTTGTAAGATTTTAAGCTCTGTATGGCAACTTCATCAATGGGTTCTACCAGATAAAGTACCTCCATTCACAAAACAGAGAGAAATACCTATCAATAACCTCAGAGCTAATAGTGATAGAAGAGCATAATGTGGCCCTATTCACGAGAACAACACTTACTTCAAGTTTCTTCTCCATAATCTTTTCCAGGAAAGGTGCATTCTTAGCACTTGTAACGCTGTCGGAAGCAATGTAATAAATGGCTTTCTGCTCAGGTTTCATATTCTCAACATACTCATCCAAGCTGATCATGTCATCCTCACTCTGAGAGGAGAAAAATCGAAGCAGTGGAGCTATACGCTTGTGGTTTTCACGGTCCTCGATGCACCCTAGTTTTAGATGTTTGCCAAAATTCTCCCAGAACTTCTCATAGTCCTGTAAAGTAAAGAAGTGCCATTTAGAAAAATCATCACCAGAAGGCCGTGACAGTGATATCTACCAGGGTCCAGGGATAAAAAGGATAAATAGTAAGGAAAAAGAAATAAGAGTTATGAGGCATACTTCTCTGTTTTCACTTAAGGATATGCCCAAAATCATATCAAATGCCTTCCTCACCAGCCGTTTCTTCATGATCCGCACCTTCAAGACACAATGCAAAGACGTTAGCCTAACAGAGAATTGCACTTGATCAATTCAAAACCGAACATAAATCTTTAAGGCATAAGAAATGGTTTTTAGCACATACAATGCGACTTTCTTGAAGAATCTCACGGGACACATTAAGTGGGAGATCATGAGAGTCCACAACACCCTTAACAAAGCTTAAGTACCGAGGAAACTGTCCACAGAGCACCACAACATCAAACACCACAAAAGTGGATATCAATACGATTAGAAAAACGCATGTTTCTTGAAAACATTTGAACCACACCAAAAGAAACTATACTCACCAGCTCCCCATCAAAGTCATCTGAAATGAAAACTCGTTTCACATAGAGCCTTATGTTCTTTGTCTTTTGATTAACCAAGTCATCCTTGCCCATAGGTGAGACAGGTGGAACGTAAAGGATGGACCTAAACTCGACCTCACCCTACAATTAGAGCATTGGCAGACAGAGAATTCAATAACATTATATTATTTTTGTGGAACGTCTTGGTATCAACACTTCTTGAAAATACCTCTGTCGTGAAGTGGGAGGATGCCAGTGGGTCCAAATATTCATTGAACGTCTTTCTGTAAAACTCATTGTATTCTTCTGTAGTCACCTCCTTAGGATTCCGGAGCTGCAATAAAAAATAAAACTCTCGGATTGATTTTTTGTTCTTGATTCTGAGTGCCTACAAAACCCATCAAGCAATCCTTACCCAAATTGGTTGTGTTTCGTTGGTAAGCTCCCAATCCCAGTACCTCTCAACAACCTTCTTGGTCTTCTTCTTTTTCTGTTATAAGAAAAAAAAGACACTAATGCTAAGTCAAAACTATTCTTGCACATTTAGCTATTTTCTGATGTCATCAAGATATTCTCAGAACAGGCACAGAGAAGTAGCAATACCTCAGTTTGGTCATCCATGTCATCTTTTTTGGCTTCAGCAGGATCATCATCAACCTCAACCTGTATAAGAAAGAGCCAAACGTACATGAGATAAGATAGAAACTTAGTCATTCTCTGATGAAAAAGTTCATATAACAATTTTCATGTGTGGCTAGCAACTTAGGCATTTATACTTGTCCTCCTGGCGATCATACCTCTTTTGTGATTCCCTTTTCCTGCCAGGTGTATATAGGGAAAGACACAAACTGAGAATAGTTTCTCACGAGCTTCTGAATCCGCTCTGGATCTGCAAATGCTTTGTCATCTCGCTACATTGGACAGCAAAAGAAAATGTTAATGATGTAAGGTTTTATGCGGGAACAAATATTTGGGATTGAGCTACAATATAAATACCAAAGCAAAACGAACCTTAAGATGCAAAGTAATACGGGTTCCTCTGGGAATGATTAACTGAGGATCAGTCTCTTCTTGAATGGTATAACTGCTTGAATCTGCTTCTCCTTCCCATACATATTGCTTATCAGATCTCGGGCTCTTGGTTGACACAGTGACCTTCAAAATACAGAAATGTAATATAGTAAGTATTGTGTTAGGGATTATGTGAACTTATCAAATAAATGGAGTCCACATGGAGCAGAAGAACTTACCCGATCGGCGACTAAGAATGCTGAATAGAATCCCACACCGAATTGTCCTATTAAATTGTTGTCACCACCAGCATCCTTGCTATCCTGAAATCATTACAAAAATTCGATTCAGTGATTCCCTGATTTTTTGTGGAGAAATTGTGGTATAAGAGAAACCAATAGAACCTTTAAAGCTTTCAGGAACTTTGCAGTTCCACTTTGCGCAATAGTCCCAAGACAGTCAACTAGTTCTTGTCGTGTCATTCCAATTCCTGAATCACTGACAAAGTGAAGCATACACAGCATATTAATTATATACTCACCACTGCTCAAAGCGAAATTTATAAATTTAACGCAGAAACTAGTAATACTTACGTGAGGGTTATTATTCCATTTTCCTTATCTGCGTAAATGCGTATATCAAGATTAGCAGAGTCCTTTGAAAGCTCAGGGTCGGTGACGCTCAAATAACGCAGCTTATCCAGTGCATCACTAGCATTGCTATTGGAAAAAAAATCACATAAAATGCAGATCGTTACAGTAAGAACTCCATTACCAAAAAAGAAAGTAAGTATATGTTCACTACTTTAGTAAAGAATACCTGATAAGCTCCCGAAGAAACACCTCCTTGTTGCTGTATAGGGAGTTAACAATCAGGTCCATGAGCCGACTAACCTGCCATTTCGCCATTTATCTCAGACACGAAAACTTGATTACAAAACAAGAAGCCTACCTAAACACAAAATTGTACATACCTCAGCTTGATACTCGAATTTCTCGGCAGGTGGAGGAGCCTGTGAGGAAGAATCTGATGCTGCTGCACTGGATTCATTCCGGTATCCCACAAACCAATTGGGTTTAATGTTCAAATGAGGCAAGGATTCACTTTTCACACGTTGCCCATTGGTTAATGACGAGTACCATCTCGATTCATTATCAACTCTCGCCACATCCTACGACGGATAAAACACTGTAAGTGAACCAAATCATCAAGAAGCTAAAGCTCATTTCTATTTTTACGCATCAAATCTCTCAGGATTTTGGTAATTAGACAATTATACGAAATCAAATTGGCAACTTAACAGAGACCCTAATCCAGAAAGTAACGATCTTTCATATCTACCCTCAACAAAACCCGAAAGCGACGAAGAGTGAAGGAAATAATACCGTGGGCGATGGGGAAGAGCGGGAGATCGAAGCTGCGGCGGCGACACGGAAGCTCCGATCGCCGGAGCGTAGGAAGGTAGAGAGAGAACGCTTCGAGAGCCTGAGCATAGTCGCGACTTGTAGAAACTCTCGTAAGAGAAACGATGGAGGAGTGGGCAGAGAGAGACAGAGTTGCGGAGAAGAAAGGTTTTAGTAGGGTTTTTATTTTATTTTTGGGCAAAGGCGAAGCTTCTGGATGTGAAGGGTAATTTCGGTATTTAAAGAGTAATGTGGGATAATTTCGTCA